TCTGCGTACAGATAACACCGCACCCCGAAACTCCGGATGATCTCTCCCAACGGCTTCATGTAGATGTTAAATTACATGGGGGACAATATTGAACCCTGCGGAATCCCACAAGACAATGGTTGTGAGGAAGAGCAGTTGTCCCCCAGCAACACCTTCTGAGTACGATCCTCTAGGAAGGACCTGAGCCATTGCAGAACAGTGCCACCAAGGCCCATTCCCGCGAGGCGTCTCAGAAGGATACCGTGGTCGACGGTATCGAAGGCCGCTGAGAGGTCCAGCAGAACTAACAGGGACACACTCCCCCTGTCTAGCTCCCTGCGCAGATCATCCACTAAGGCGACCAAGGCTGTCTCGGTACCATGTCCCGGCCTGAAACCAGACTGTGCCGGATCTAGATAATCAGTGTCTACCAAGAATACCTGGAGTTGTGAGGCCACCACACGTTCCAGGACTTTGCCCAAAAAGGGGAGATTGGAAACAGGCCGATAGTTGACGAATTGAGTGGGATCCAGTGATGGTTTTTTCAACAGCAGTTTTATCACAGCTTGTTTTAAGCTGGCTGGAATTTTGCCTTCCTGAAGGGAGGCATTAACCACCACCTTCAACGACTCGGCCAATCCCCCTCTGGCCTTCTTTAGAAGCCAGGATGGGCAGGGGTCTAGGATGCATGTGGTTGCCCTCATTCCTCCAAGTATCTTGTCCACATCCTCAGGTTTCACCAATTGAAATGAATCCAACAAAATCGGATAAGCAGATGCTCGTGTTACATCCTCTGAGACTGCCGTTAACATGGTGTCCAGGTCAGAACGGATCAAAGCGACTTTGTCCGCAAAGAACCGAGCAAATGCTTCACAGCGGGCCGTCGAGTTGTCAGGGTTCCCATCCGAAGTGGTGGGATTTAATAGACCTCTGACAACTCGAAACAGCTCAGCCGGACGGTTCTTTGCGGACGCAATATTGGCCGCAAAGAAAGATTTCTTTGCCGCCTTTATTGCCACGGCATATGCCCTAAGAAGGGCAACATACCGTGTTCGATTTAACTCGCTCGGGTCCGAACGCCACACGCGCTCTAGTCTCCTCTTCCTTCGCTTCATCGCTGCCAGCTCCTCGGTGAACCAAGGGGCTGGTTTAGCTCGGCTACTTGAGAGGGGACATTCTGGAGCGATCGTGTCTATTGCCCTAGTCATCTCCCCATTCCAGAGAGCGACCAGGGCATCAACAGGATCACCAACCGAGGTGGCGGGAAATTCCCCAAGAGCCGTCAGGAATCCCTCCGGATCCATAAGCCTCCTGGGGCGGACCAATTTAATGGGTCCTCCACCTCTGCGGAGGTTAGGGGGTGCAGTGAGTCTAAAGCTGACCAGGTGGTGGTCGGTCCATGGCAACGGAGAGATGGATAACTCCTCAACACCGCCACCTTCCTCCCATCCCTGACAGAAAACCAAGTCCAATGTATGTCCAGCACTGTGGGTGGGGCCAGATACTTGTTGGGACAGCCCCATGGTTGCCATGGAAGACATGAAGTCCTGAGCCGCTCCCACTAAGGCAGTCTCGGCGTGTACATTGAAGTCCCCCAGCACAAGAAGCCGTTGGGACTCCAATGACAGGCTCGAGACCACCCCCGCTAGCTCAGGTAGGGAGACTGTAGTGCAGCGAGGTGGGCGGTACACTAACAGAATCCCTATTCTGTCCCGGTCACCCACCCTCAGGTAGACACATTCAAAATTAGTTGACTGTGGGATGGGGCCTCTGGTCAGAGGGATTGAATTTTTATAGACTACCGCAACTCCGCCTCCCCGCCCTCCAGGTCTCGATTGGTGCTGTACGGAGAAGCCTGGTGGACAAAGCTGGGTCAAATTTACTCCTCCAGCTTCGTCCAACCAGGTCTCCGTAATGCACGCCAGATCTGCCCGCTCCTCCAGAATTATATCTTGGATGAAAGATGTTTTTCCGTTGACAGATCTGGCGTTCAACAGCACCACCTTCAACCCAGAGGGACCGCCATCCTTGGAACACCCACGTGCCACGTCAGGAGACCGATTACAAGTTCTTAAATTTCTTTTTCTATCTCTAGGCCGGATTTGAGTTGTTTTAGATTTTTCACTATTTCTAGGCCGAATTGGCGGTCTCCCTTTCCCGCATCTCCCCCTCCCCGTTATGGTTTCTATGGGGACCCCTCGGCCAATGGAATACCTCTCTTCGTCCATATTGCACTTCAAGTTAGTGGCTTCATCCCATAGTTCTTTCCAAATTACTTGTTCTAATAACTCCTCTTTGTGACATACAACCTCCTTCAAGCCCTTTCCTAACCTTGCAATGCAATTTCTAGG